AGATGTCTTGTAATGCACTGTTGAGGAACCTGCGACCCAAGTTTTTCATTCATTGCATAACTACACCGTAGTTGTGTATATGATATGTCAATAGAAAATCTTGAAATCTTGAAAGGGATGTGCAAAATAGCCATTATATACAGTTTTTAATGAACTATTAGTAGAGAATAACGAGTAATTAATATACTTTATAGAGATCTGCAGATAAATGTTTAGTCTTCTCAAGTACCAACTACAGTATCAAATATCTCTCCTGATTGTTGGCACTTGACAATCACCTTTCCCTGAATTTTACTCAGGTGTAACTAAAGTCTGCTTTAAGGGTTGTTTATATTTCACATCATTAATCAGAATCTGCAAAGTAACTAAAATAAATATAGTGGAGTAAAAATACCAGGTTCCTCTGAATTGTAGTGGAGTAGAATTACAAAGTAACAATGAGCTGTCATGTGGGTATATATTAATGCTGCCCATTATGGATACAAGCGATTTTCACTCATTTAGTAATTACATGTTTTAAATTTGTACACACCAATTTGTTTCCTATCGCCTAAACTTCCAGGGCTGTACACAGTTTAATACTGTCAACTTCTAATTTTGTGAAAAACGAAAACGTCTTTTAAAACTACAATTCCTAGTAGAGACGTGCCATAGAGAACATGTTGCGAAACACAATAGCCAGCATGTGTAGTTCTCGGGGGGCGTTCGAGTCCAGTTTTGAATAGTCTGCCGTTGTTTCGTTCCATTTCAAAGAGCTTGACGCTCAGCGTAACCTTGGCGCACTGCCACTCCAATATCCAATCCCAGAGTTTGAAGATTAATCACGGGGTTTGTCAACGGGACTGTAGTCCCAAACGATAGCTGGGGATTATGTGTAGTGTAGTGTCTTCGGCCATCCTAAACTGAATTTGTTTCCGGATATCATATCACATTAACAACACCACATCTGGCGTCACAGAGATCTGCTATTACTGTCCTTTCTTCTTAGAGGAAGTACAGAAACACGTAACTCTGGATTTGTTTTAATGTTTGAGGTGCAATAAACGACACAGCAGCTTTTTGGCATGTTAAAACTATTATTTTCTGTCTCGCACATGAGAGTAACGGAGCGTCCACACTACAGCTTCAAAAAAAGCTTGGAGCTGGGCGTGTCTGAAGCTTGGGGATGTTATTCAAGCAACGCGACCAACAACCAATCACATGAATCTCCCGCCCCCGACATACAAAGCAAAAACCCCCGGGGATTTTATGGGAGCAATATATATATAAACTCCCCAAACAGGCGAAAACCTACCAGTTTCACCCACTGTCTCTGCCACCTCCCTCCATGCCTGGTTCCTCCGGTTTGTATCCGGGTAGGTGAAGAGGGTCTGGTCATACAAAACCGGGTGATTCGCTACGGCGATAATTAGTTTCTCCTCCATCTTTTTTTGAAATATAGAAATGAACGGCGGGATATCTCTCCCAGCTTAGACGCGGTTTGATTGGCTACGGCTTGAGCTGTCAGATTTTCCGAAACGGGATTTGATTGGCTGGCGCTGGCTACTCCGGCGTCTCCGGCGGAGACGGACCGCTATGCTACCCACAATTCAGTTCGGCGAAAAAAAGCGGCAACGTGACGTCATCCCATTCAAAGTGAATGGGCAGATTGAAGCTGTCGACGCTGTCGACGCTGTCGACGCTGTAGTGTGGACGGGCCGTAACAGCTGGCGAAATTACAGCCTCGCCTACTGATTTCAAATGTGTGCTCTAAAATGATATTTATAAATGACTATTATCATTATTATTAGCAAGACAATAAATGGCAAAGATATGTAGAAAATAAACGTATTTAAGATACGTTCATAAGAAACGTAACGTGGGAGAAAATATGTTTCTAGAAGATATGTAGAAAATAAACGTATTTGAGATACGTTCATAACGAACGTAACGTGGGAGAAAATACGTTTCTGGCTAAACGTAATTGAGAATGCAGTTTAGTTCTGTGGGAACGTAATTTTTAGGAGACAGGGTTAGGCCTGCCGACATGGCCACTGTCATACAGATCATAAATCAAAGCCCTTGATTGGTCTCTGTGTGTCATTCAAGCTCGGGATAACCTCAGCTCAGGTGAGGTAAACATACTTGCCAACCTTGAGACCTCAGAAATCCGGAGTATTTCAAAATGTAAAATGGGGGGGGGTGCTAGTGGATCGCCGGAGCTGTTAGATTAACATGCTTATTGATTGTAGTTCTAAGTGCAATGCCTTGCGGCCTGTAGCTCCATCCTTGATGGAGCATATGTGTGGGCAGGAAAGAAGTGAGCAGAGAGTAGATTAGTCGTCGATTCTTGTTCTGTTTTCTGTGACTATCTGCCTTACCCTCAGACTTTCAGTTGCGGGCACTACTAAAGAGACATGTTACCATGGAAACCAAACAATGGTGTAGCTGTATTAAAGTCCGAGTGGAAACAGTCCTGAATAACTCTGATTTTGTCAGAAATCGGGAGAAATGCGGGAGAAATATGACCCCGGGAGGAAACCGGGCAGTGGCGACTGGTCATTAGGGGCAGGTGGCACAGCCCCACCTAGTGTCAGCAGAAAGTATTAAAAATAATGATTACAACAAAATGCAAAAAATAAATTCAAAGATCATGTTTAATCATCTGATTCGTCTGTACATTGCTGTTTTAGTCTGTGTTCTTCTAATTAGTGTCTACAGTGTGTGCCTATTGAGCTGTTTCGAGCCATGTGGGACAAAACCCGATCCTGCCCCTCCCTCTCTCTCTCTAAGTGAACGGTGACTGTAAAAACTACACTGCGCATGCTCAGAATATGTTTCTATTTAATGTGTGTGGCAAAAAAATTATGACCATAGGGGCATAGTGCTGCCATCCCCACCATACATCATCTCACATCATTCAGAGCTGATTGGCTGTAAGTAGTAGGCCTACGTGTGCCGCGAAAAGTGTGGTGTGTGAAGAGGAGGAGAGAGAGCTGAGGCATCCTAAAACCCGGAGGTAAGCCTCTATGGAATGCCATTTAAGCCAATATTAAATAAATAAATAGATACATAAATACATATATATATATAAATATGCCTATGAAATAAATTATAAAATAAATAAATTAGGCAATAAATATGTATACATGTACATTTAAATACACATTTATTTATTTCATGGGACTTTTATTTCATAATGACACATTTATTTATTTCAAGAGACTTGTATTTCATAATGACACATTTATTTATTTCAAGAGACTCGTATTTCATAATTACATATTTATTTATTTCAGATGACTTGTATTTCATAATGACGCGTTTCTTTATTTCAAGAGACTCGTATTTCATAATGGCTTATTTCATGTGACTTGTATTTCATGATGAGACATTTCCATTCCTTATATGCAAATGAACGGGGCGTGGTTAGCTCACAGGTCCAGAGACCCAGACCAAAGCAACAGCACCACAGTGACTACTCGAGAAGAGGAAGAAAATGGAGGAGAAGGACTATAAGGCAAACTACTAAATTCTCAGAGTCAGACATCGCATGTAATCTGATACTCTAAATTTCACCCGCCAGAAATGTTCGCTTCTTCTTCTTCGGTGTAAATTGTCCGTTGGCAAACCAGTTGACTTCTTCTTCTCTCGGTTTTTTGGCGGATTGCAAACAACTTTAAGGTGCATACCGCCACCTACTGTACATGAGTGTGAATCATCATATCATTCCATCTCTTAACTCATGGACGTATCTATGATCTAATCCAAAAATAAATAAATTAGGGCTGTCAAACGATTAAAAATGTTAATCAGATTAATCACAGTTTAAAAATTAATTAATCATGATTAATCACCATTCGAACTATGTCCAAAATATGTCATTTCTTTATGTATATTGTTGTGGGAATGGAAAGATAAATGAAAGAAGGCGGATATATCCATTTAACATGTTTATTGTAAACAATTTCTGTGTGTCAAAATGAAAGAGAGCACCTATCAATCATCAAACCGTGGGGTCTTAATTCATTACGTATTGATTTCTATCTTACTTAGAAACTTCAGGAAAGTCGACGGGGGGGGGGGGGGGCGCTAGTGGAGTGGAGTACTTCGTGACCACAGAGTGTGAACGTTGTGATCAGCTGTTTTAGCGCAGTTCTCCAGTGAAGGGGGGGAGTCTCCCTCCGCAGCCGGTTGGCGTAGTTTTGGCACAATTCCGTTGTACAGACCGACGTTAACAGCAGCCCTGTCTGTGCACACGGAGACCGACTCTGTCGTCCGGTGATCTAACCGCCTTCTGGAAAAGCTTCACAAGTACGTCGGTACGCAAATGCGCTTTGTGACACAAGTGACGGTACGCATTTCAGATTACGCACATAACCTGCGTACCAGTTATGTGTTACCTGTACTACAGCTAAAGTATTCTCCGTCGGGACTTCCTGCAACAACACCATTCCGTTATCTTGATTCTGATTGGCCAGAAGACATTATCAAAGATGTTCTATTGAGAAGACGATCACTACGTGACAAAAGTTTTCAAAACCGTTTCTGGTCTTCCATATTTCCAGACAAGTGGCTGCTGAAATCAATCTTACTTACTGCTGTCTGTGCAATTTACTCCGCGCGAGTTGGCGGACTTTATTTTGCTTACTTTAACATCATTTTTCATGGTGGGGCTAAGCCATTTCTTGGTATGGGTGTAGCCTACCCCAGCCATACCCTGTCTTTATAAATATTTGTCTGCTGGCATACCAGCAGACCAGCATTTATCTATCACCAGCTTATGTTAGTATTAAATATACAATGTATTCTGGTAACTATCAAAATAAAGACATTGTATAGTGTTCATAACAGTATTTTTATTTAATAAATTATACTTAATACAATAATATTACAAAAAAAAACCTACATCTAAATAAATATATCATCTAAAAAAGATGCATTTGATTTAAAAATAACAAATATAATTCAAAATGTAAACAGCAACAAAGAAGTTATAAACATTTTTTTTCTTTTTCTTGTTAATATCCATTATCTTCTCTGTTATGTATCTTCCGGTCTTTGCCAATCTGGCCAGCATTTCTTGGTCCTCCACGTCTTTCTCGTGCAGCCACTGCTTGAAGCAAACTGAAAATAAGAAACAACAATGTTTTAACAAATCTTATTCAATTATGTGATGATAGAACTGCAAACAGAATAGCTGTAACTTTAACAAAATAAATAACTCAGTTACCTCTAATCATTAACCCATGTTTGTATCATTGAGTTAACTCTGTGTGTTGCTGCTAGCATACATAATATATACCTGACGTGGAAACGTTACTCGTGGATGGGGCTACAGAGCTACTAGAAAGACAGTCGAACCCGGTGCATTCCTCCGTCTGAATGTGGAGCACTTTTGCTAAATGTTTAGACAAATAGCTTGTGTTACCGCCCTTACATGCTAAATTCTTATTGCACTATTGGCAACAAGCATTTTCCACCTCAAGACCAAGCCCCCAGGAAGTGTACTACAATTTCCTTATCAGTCTGTGACGTCGACCGGCCCAGAAATACTTTTTCCCATTGACTAACATTGGGAAAGAGACATCTGTAACTCGGTGGATAATTTTTTTGAAACTAAATAAACTACCCAGTATGAACTATTGTATAGCCCTAGAATCATTAAGTTCTTAAAGTTGTAAAATGCACTAAAAGCCGAATCTAGATGTATTCTCTCTCTCCATTCTTTCTAGTGAGCCGAGAGTGTGTGCTCGGGGGGGCGGGGCTTAAGGGGCGCATGCTCTGTGAGCGCACAAACGGGTTATTCTGCTCTGACAGCCAGGCATGACGGGTAATCTGTGACGTTTCGCTCTCTCAAAAGTTGGGCCATTTTGACTTCATGCGTCAATGAGCAGCTCTCATAGGAAAGAACGACGAGGCCCCTCCTCCGATGCTGTATCCAGTTCTTATTAAACATCCATGCTCAAGACGGGTAACATAACTACCCTCGGGGAGCTTAGTTCTCTCCGCCATGTGTTTGTGTGCGCACGTGTGTGTGTGTGTGTGTGTGTGTGTGTGTGTGTGTGTGTGTGTGTGTGTGTGTGTGTGTGTGTGTGTGTGTGTGTGTGTGTGTGTGTGTGTGTGTGTGTGTGTGTGTGTGTGTGTGTGTGTGTGTGTGTGTTGTAGAGTTATATTTGTATTTATTCATGTTAGCAAACTATGGATAAGCTTAAAATGGGAATAATGTGGGTAAAACTGTGAGCTGGATTTGGGGCCTGTTGACATGTGTTTTTGAGGACAAAGGAAGATGGGGGAAGGTGAGAGCATGTCTTGATTTGCATTCACCTTAGATCTTGCTACAGTGATTGGGGAAACCTAAGATTTGAGGTGTTAGTGATATTTGGGGCTGCCAATCAAGGAGGTCTGAATGGGAGGATCTGATAACTCCTCCCATTGTCAAAGAGTATGAACACAGACACACACGCGGTGTTCTTTCTCTTTCCTCTGGCTGGCTCACGTGCAGGTACATTTGGGATCCCAAAGATTAACTGTATTGAATTTGTACTGTATTGATTGTATTGTATTGTCATATTACCATTAAAGTAGATTATTGTTTACTTGGTAGCTCTGGATTTCTTCCTGTATTAACCAGCTTGATAGGGACGCGCAGAGATTTGAAAAGCGGACCAGATATCCCTTTTAATCTCTAACAGTGTGTGTGTGTGTGTGTGTGTGTGTGTGTGTGTGTGTGTGTGTGTGTGTGTGTGTGTGTGTGTGTGTGTGTGTGTGTGTGTGTGTGTGTGTGTGTGTGTGTGTGTGTGTGTGTGTGTGTGTGTGTGTGTGTGTGTGTGTGTGTGTGTGTGTGTGTGTGTGTGTGTTGCATGCATGTAGCAGGTTCTGTGTGTAAACTGCCCCACCCCCTCGCACACCGACAGGGGAGAGAGATCTCGTCTGGATTGGAAAGATCGAAAATACATCATAGACGCACTTTGTAGTCTTATTGCATATTAGAAACGGAGTTGCAGTAAGACTGCGATATAATGTTTATGTAGATATAATACAAAATGACATCTATTTTTTAAATGTCTCCCGTAACGATAAAAAGATTGATAACATTGGACGTTAACGGTACCACAGTCTTTAATAATTCAGCCCCGGGGCCCGTTAATACTGGGGCTCGGTACCCATCCCTAGTTTTAATTATTACATCATCAATATTACATTTCAAATAACCAAGTACTTGGTTACCAACACAAAGCGCAAGTGGCTAGTGCTGCTAAGAACATACCTGGTGATGGTGATGATGGTGGCTCTTCGCTGCAGGATCTGGTCGATGTCCTCCTAGCAGAAGCGATTGCCTTCGTCGTTCTCGTCCATGATGGCGGCGTAGGCTCCTTTCCTCAGCAGGTCCTCGATCTCCTTCTTGGAGAACTGCTGGACCGGCTAAAGGCGACGCAGAGAGACATTTACACAAGTGGATTTAGAAAACTCTTTTTGAAAATAAACTAAGCGTACTGCAACAGCGACTGACCCAAAAATGACTTGGCATCTAGAAATATGACAGATTTTCTTTTTCTCACCCCGTTGTTGTTGCCTCTCATGCTCTGCAGGACGGGACGGTCCAGCCCGAGCTTCAGACTAGCTTTATCCAGCATTTCCCTCTCATAGTTTCTAGTGATCAGACGGTACACCTCCACCGCCTTAGACTGGCCAAAACGATGACGAACCGAGCTTGAGCCTGAAATAAAAAATTAAAAGAGGGGTCAAAAGAGCATCATGTGCAGCTGCTGTTCAACGTTTTTAAGCATTAAATGGGAAAATAATATACACTTAAAGAACCGAGGGAATAAACGGAAAGACTGTTGTTGTTGTAGCCCTATTGAACTATCTTTAGGACGGACAGAGCAGATATATATATATATATATATTGTACCTGCAGGTCATTTTGAGGGTTCCAGTCAGAGTGGAATATCACACAGGTGTCTGCAGCAGTGAGGTTCACAAGCTCTTGATCAGGTGTTTGATGTGGGCTGGCATGATCCTTTCTGCAGCGATGAATAAAGAAAACAAAGAAGACATTATTAATAATAGTAACAACAATAATATTAGTATAACTATTTATATAGCACTTACACAATAATTGCAAAGTGATTCTCACAACAAAAATAAAGAACAAAACAATAAAAAAACTAATTATTATAGGAATGTTAAAATACAAATAAATGATAAACATTCTGAGAGGCCGACTACAAAAGGTAGACTCAGACCCCGGCCACACGAGGACGAAAACGGCTAAACGCATAGGATTAACGCAAACGCAATCGCAAACAAGCTTCCGTCCACACGCAATAGTTATCCGGATAGTGTCTGCCCACACGAGACCACTCCGTTTAGCTCCAACCGCTGGAGAAGCTGCAGTACATATGCAGGAGCCTGTACGTGCCGCTGTAACGTCCTCCACAAAAGCAGCGAAGAAGCATAGTTGTCATGGTTGCCCTTCTGTTTATTCTCCGCGGTGGGGGCCGAGGGAACCGGGCAGTGTTTTTCGCCAGTCAACGTGTATTAAAGTTTAAACCTTCCGACAAAATTATAAAAGTGCCGGTCAAAGGTCTTCTTTGTTATTTATTGAGCTTTAAAACAAATGAATAACGACTCTATATAATATAATAATAAAAATACACTTAGCCTCTCTTTTTCCTCCCTCTCTTCGGACAGCGTCAGTGTCTGTTTCATGCAGCAGCTGATCCAGTAATGAGTGACCCCGGCCGACAGTAAAAATAAACATATTTATAACTAGTTTAGGTAGTTTGAGAGGTGTCTCCGTCCTGTCAGATTAGACTTCACTCGCGTTTATGTCCATATCGAGAGAAAGATAAATAATCTGAATTCAGTGTGCAGTTTACTTTGACGCGGGGGTGAGCAGCAGAGGTGGGGAGAGGCGGGGCTATTGCGCAATCATTATCAGAAAATGATCGCTGAAGCTGCAGTACATATCCACAAAAGCAGCGAGTAAGATCCCCCCCGGATGTGTAAGTCTGCTGTAGATGTTGCACAAAGAACTGTAGCATGGTCAGTAGCGTCCGGAGCACGATAGCAACTCTGCGATCCGCCATTGTTGTTGTTGTTGGTGGCGAAACACATCAGCAATGGCGCGGGGTACGCGGAGGTGAGCAGCAGAGGTGGGGAGAGGCGGGGCTATTGCGCAATCATTATCAGAAAAATGATCGTATAGGGCAGGGGTGGCCAACCAGTCAGAGGTTAAGAGCCACATGTTTTCTATGTTACTGCAAGGAGCCACATCACACACACAGTCACTGATACCGCTTGTTTCAGTTTTTTGTTTTCTGGAGACAAGATTTCAACCACGTCACTGATTCATTTTTGTGGCATTGGGATATATTTTTAAAATCCTCTGGAGCAGAGAGAGGAGCTGTGTATTATTGTTATTGATTAATGCATCAGTGTTTCTTAGGGTCAAAAACACTAAACCCACAAATTAAAATGAAAGCGTTTAGTTTATTTAATAAAAGAGCACATGTTCAATGTGAAAAGTGACAGTAGTTATAGATTATTTGCAATTTGATGCTATATATATTTTTTAAAAGTATATATATAACACCTTGAATTTCAGGGGGGGCGCGGGGCTCCGTTGGCGGCTCGCAGTGCCCCTCCAAGACAATGGTAGGGGAAACACTGAATAGTGTTTAATCAACAATAGGTTTCCCCCCCTCAAAGGTGATTGGTTCACTGCATTGCAGGTATTATTGTGATTGGCTGTTGGGCCACATCAAAATGAGACGCGCTGTCATCCTCTCATACTGACACCTGACACCACACATACACACGTAGGGAGAGCCGGGACGAAAGTAACACGGGACCAAAGTAACGGAGCGATTTTATCCGAGCCCAAACAACTTTGACCGGCCAAATTACGTCAGAATGATCAGCATTCAATACTTAACAGACCTACTAAATATCAGGTTTAACTGTCAGTGTTGTCACGATACCAACATTTTGGTTTCGATACCAAGTCAAGAATTGCGATTCCGATTATTTTTCTTAAAAAACGGGAAACAGTCTTAAAATGTAATTATTGTGCTTTATGTCACACCAGAATCATAACCATAACACAAACTTTTAAACAATGAGAACAGTAAATACAATAAATGACAAGAATTCGTATTAAATACAATTAATACATTTCTTACAGACAGGCCTCGTGGTGTCCGTAGGCTTGCCCTCACTGTCAGAGATATAGCTAAAATACTTCCATAGCTTCTGGCATATTTTTTGCCGAGGCGCAGCGGCAGTTGCACTCCCACTTGCAGCCATGCTTCTCGTTTTCTCACATGCTCTGGCAGCTAGCGCGTGCACGAGAGAGGGGAGGGATTTAGAGCGTGCTTGAGATGGGAGGGTGCAGGCACGGCTGCAGTGCAGGGAGTGAAAGCAGAGCGCTGAACAAACACGGCTCTTATTAAAACAGCGCTTTCTCACCGGATTACTTTTCCCCGTCATTCTTAAAGTACCGATACTAATGAAACGGAGGAATCGTAACGATTTTAACGACAGGGTATCGCGGTATACCTTTCAAGTATCGGTACACCGTGCAACACTAGTCAGGAGTCAGTATCTCTCCCCCAAACTCACACATATACAATTCGATATGAACTGAAGAGCCGCATGAAACTAGGCAAAGAGCCGCATGCGGCTCGAGAGCCGCGGGTTGGCCACCCCTGGTATAGGGCGTACACACGGAGCTGTTTGACCCCCCAGAGCGTTGCGTATGCCGTTCTATCCACCTTGGGACCCGTTATCGTTTCCTCAGTCGTTTAGTGCCGTATGCGGTCGTCCTCGTGTGGCTGAATGGTCTATATGACACTAAACAGTAACGCAAACGGCCGTTTTTGTCCTCGTGTGGCTGCAGCCTCAATGGCTCTTGATGACATCAATGAGCAGTCCCAAAACATGCTGCTGTATAAAAAGAAATAGGTCCAGATTTCTTCTATTTAGTGTTGGATGATTTGTTGTATTGATTGCTGATGGATGTTAAGATATGTTTTACAATTATAACAAAAAGATTATTGTATTTGGAATCAAAAAGTTTACAAATCGTAGTTTTAATAAAATGACTAGCAATATAGGATTTATTCAACAGCGGTAAAGTATTAAGTTACTAAATTAACGTACACTGAACTGTAAAACTTACCACTATTTAGGAAAGGACCTGATCAGAAGGATTGACTAGTAAGACAGCAAAGAGGCGGAGGAGGTCTCTGTCATGTACAACCATTGGTAGATGTTACACCTGAAAGAAAGATAAGGAAATAAGACAACACAGGAGGACAAACATCTTCTTAAGTAAAAGACCAAATCATGTCAAGCTTTAACTTGAGGCTGTTTTTTCAGTCTTTACAATGCACAGTTGGAAATTACATTCCAAAAGCTAAATTCAAACTCAACACCATAAATAACTGGGTACCAAAGTGCTTTACCTGATAGGACACGTTCCACACGGAGCAGCAACCATCCGGCTGGGCCGTATGCTGCATATCATCTCCTCCCTCTCCACTGTTTCCAGTAGATCTCTACTGCCTGTCCAATAAAACTGAAATGCCCCAAAACAATCATATTTCAAAATGTACAAACAATAACTTGCTTTTGGCATTCAAATGTATTATAATCTCACCTTTTTCCTGGATGTCAGGAAGGCGTTCCCTTCAAGTCCGCAACCAGTCATAGGAGTTCAAATGCAAAGCCTGAAATATGACAAGAGCGGGAGACTTACATGTTACAAAATAAGTAATACCAGAGCAGTGTTTAGGACATGCAGAGAACAGATCAAATCCCCTGACAGGCTCACACACTTTGGTGATGTCCTCATCTGATAATGATGTTTCATTTTTAGCAGCAAAGTAACATTACTCAAGGTATATGTTGGACCCAACTCATGTACAGTATGTTTTGCATCTCCTCAACAATGGTCTGTATAGTTGAGTAGAAACAAACTGTCCCTACAGTTTCAGGTAGATTAACAAAGAAAAGTTTGCAATGAAGCACAAAACCCCTCTTTGTATTAAGCTAGCTGCCACAAAAAGTACAGCTTAACATGCTAACCTGGTGGAGCTAACTTCATGTCCAACACAAAACCTCCAATCAAATCGCGTGTAAGCTGGGAGAGACTACGCAGGACATTTCCTCATAATAAATGGAGGGAAAATTCATTATAGCGGTAGTGAATCACCCGGTGCTGTATGATCAGTCTCTGTTCATCTACCGGGATACAAACCGGAGGAGCGAGGCATGGAGGGAGGTAGCAGAGACAGTGGGTGAAACTGGTAGGTTTTCGCCTGTTTGGGGATTTTATATCCAGTTTACTTCGTTTTAACATTGCTATTGCTTTGTATGCCGGGGGCGGGAGATTCATGTGATTGGTTGTTGGTCGCGTTGCTCGCAAAAAATCCCCAAGCTTCAGATACGCCCACCGCCAAGCGTCAACGCACGCTGCTGTGTGGACGCTCCGTAACGGCCCGTCCACACAGCGGCGTGCGTTGAAGCTTCAACGCTTCTGCCCATTCACTTTGAATGGGGTGACGTCACGTTTCGCCGAACTGCATTGTGGGAGCGAAGCGTAGATTTGCTTGCGTTGTTCGGGACGAAAGTTGAGCAATGTTCAACTTTTGAAGCTTCGGCGGAAGCGTCAGCCAATCTAATCATATGCCAGTACAAGTTCTAGCCAATCAAACCGCTGCTTGTGTGTCAGGGGCGGGAGATTCATGTGATTGGTTGTTGGTCGAGTTTCAGACACGCCCGCCGGCAAACTTCAACGCACGCCGCTGTGTACTGGCATATGATTCCCGAGGCTTCAAAAGTTGAACATTGCTCAACTTTTGTAGCGAGCCACGCCAGCAAAGCTCCGCTTCGCTTCCCACAATGCAGTTCGGCGAAAAGTGACCCCATTCAAAGTGAATGGTGAAGCTTTCAACGCACGCTGCTGTGTGGACGGGTCGTAAGTGTAAGCCTTACCCCCTAATCCCACCAGGAGCGTCTGCGCTGCGTTGCGCTGCGGCTTGCGGAAGTTTATGAAGAGTATTATGCAGAAGATGTGATGCAGCATATTTTTGGTATATTCATTTTAATCTCACCAATATATAGGAGGTGTATTGCATCATGTTATCCCTAAATATATGTGTGGGTATATACATTCCTGTGTATTAATAGTTGAAGGAACAAAATACATTTTTCCTCTTAAATATAGAGAGGTTTTTTATAGATTCCTGAAACAATGTTCCCTTTTTCTTTAAAGTAGATTAGCGCAATAGTCTTTTTCTTTCACTTTTACCCTTTTCATCAAAAGGGTGCTTTAGGCTATTTTTGAGGGGTAAAATGCAGAATTACTTGTGAGTTCTGTTTTGAGTGAAAAGATTACCCTTTTGAGTGTTTTTCTTGGTTAACCATTAGATATAGTGGCTAAATTCGTTCTAAGTTAATTATGCGCATCCTGCAGGCCTTGAGAATTTAGTCACACAGTTAAGAGAGACAATGGTCCTTTTAGACTAAGGGTGAGCTTACTTCGGGTGAATAAAAGTTCAGAGATGATTGGGGGGGGGTATGAAGACAGTTAGGCGTTGTTGGTGAGCTAGTTCTGAGGATGTCATGGGATAGTGACTGTTTTATTCCTAACAAGTATGGCTTTCATAAAGAAACACATGACTTGGGTGATAAGATGTGTTTTGTTGTAAAATGGGCCCGTTTGGTTTTCTGCTGGCCAGCGCTGGGTCATTGTGACAAAGCATATTTTGCGTCTGCCAATGAGAGGACCTGAAAAGATGACCAGCTGACCTCACCCCTTCCTTCTGTCTTCTGGTATATGTTCTGTCGATTCCTGAGTTCGGCCTCTCTTCACATGCTGTCAGGACCGGAAGGATCTCCGCAGCACGCAAACCAGGGCAGAAGTGGGCCGGCTACTTCTTAAAACATTACAATATGATTTTAGTATATTGTATTATATGGTATTGTAATGTATTATAGTGCATTGCATTATTACCTTTGATAATTAAAACAGATTGTTTAAACTGGTATCTGGGTGTTCTCTGTCTGATTTCCTTCCTGTTATGATTTTAAGCAGGACTCGTCAAAACGACACGCGGAGCCGAGTGGGGTTGTAAAAACCTCAAAACTCCAACAGGCTGCAGCGTTTTTAGCGATCGTGGCCACTCTAGTCAATGGGTGCTATTCCACCAGACCCGCTGCGCCGCGCTGCGCCGCACTGCGCCGCGGCTCGAAGCGTCCCAGAAGCTCCTCGCCGCAAGGAATTTCTAAAATATAGGATGAATCCTATTTTTGACGCGGCGCAGCGCAGGCAGGAAGTGGAACGTTCATCCAACAACTGCGAGGCTGCACACACGACGCTCCGCTTCCGCAACGTTTTGAAACGCGCCTGGTGGGTTATGACGCAGGAGGAGTTCGCAGCGCGGCGCAGCCGCAGCGCAACAAAGCGCAGACGCTTCCGGTGGGATCAGGGGGTAACATTTACACTGTAAGGATTAGTAACATCATGAATTGTTTGTGTGTATTTATGTGATGACATTTGGAGATGTTTAAACACAATGAAAAAATGCGTTAGCATTCGCGCTAGCGTTAGCATACACTGTAGCGTTAGCATATATGCTAGCGTTAGCCATACTAACCTGTAGGCCTATACATGCTTATTGCACAGCTAGCATTAGCTATATTTACCTTGTTTACAAGGTTGCGATCCTATGTGTTAATATGTGTATGTTACACTTGCAATCACGCCTTAAACTGACGGCACTTGTCCCTATAGCCTATTTTAAATTGAAGTTGTCTGAGGTCCTTACCACTAGCTGCTCTTGCAGTAATAAGTAGTGTGAAGAAAACTTCTGTCTTTCAATGTTGAGATGGAATGAAGGAGTCTGGATCGTCGTTAGCCAAAACACTTAAGAGTTTATTTACAAGTACAAACATATATGACAACGGCCGGAGGATTGATAAAGTTTCCCTCCTGTCGGGGGAAAACCCATATCAACTCTGCCGGACAAAGGAACATACAGCGCCAACCCATTCTTTCGGATGGGCGGGACCTCAGGAGCCCGCGCTATACCTAATCAATGGCAGATGTCGGGACAATGATCTGTTTGTCTCGCAAATGCATGGAGACAGGAAACCATCCCCCACAGGAAAGGCAGAGAAGCTTTTGACCTGTGACCTCAACTTACAGAGAGGATCTTTGACTTTAACGCAAAGCATGTTTGCAATAACACAGATTCTAAGAAAAGATGAGAAACTCTATACAATCAAGTCCAGATTAAAATATTCTCTCACAGTATTTTCTTTTTATCAATCTATTGATAACCAATTAACATTAGTCTAAGAATATTTCAGTCAATACTTAAATCAATAAGCGTCTTCAGAGTTGGGTGGCTCACTCACATTAATACATCAAAAGTAAACAAGATTGAAAACACTTCAATCACCATGATTGAATACAGTCAATCATAATAAAAATCATCTCTCTTCAGTGTTTGGCATCTTTTGTCAAAAGCACAATAATAAACACACATGAAATACAAAAATATAATAGCAAAATATATGTTTCAAAAATAAGATATTTTATCATTTATCACTCAGTTAATCTCATTCATCAAACACAAATTCTAAATCAGTTTACATCTCAAAGATTTACTTCAAGGCAATTACTTATTAAAAACACAATTAGAATTTAGGATTATAAGAAATCCAATTGAGGTATAAAATCAGAATCATGAGAGATCCAGCTAAGGTTCCTAGTTAAGGTATAAATTCACAGTGATGAATCGATCAATCTGTAATCTGTAAAGTTACAGTGTCCTCAATCTTTAACATTACTTTACGTTTACTTCATTACGCTTTATTCAAGAGTAAGGCACTTAGTGATACATATATTTTATTCAAATACATTTGTTCAAAATCTGAAAAGGAAGAATCAGACATTTTATTGTATAACAACCTGAAAAGGAAAAATCAGACATTTGTTCTTTAATTCAGAGTATCAACTGTAATCAATTTATCAAAACATCTGTTATTTATTCAGAGTATTAACTGTAATCAATTTCTCAATCGCTGAATGGAGGTACCCATGGGTCAGAAACCGCGATGGAGACCCAGGGATCTGGAAGCTCAGCGTTGTACATCAATATTGTGTTATTTACAGTCGAATGCCCCACTAGCCTTTGTGGGGCCTGGAGGGCAGTCTTGGCAACCCTTCGTATGGCTAATTTAACCACAGTGATCAAACAGATCACTAGGATTAGCACAACCAAGATAAACACTGAAACAGTAACAACAAATTTAACCAACCCCGCTCCCCAGGATCCAAAGGTTCCACTTAACTCCCCAAATGTAAACCCATGAGTTTCATGCAATTCTTTTATTCCCCTGGCAGTATCATGAGCCATATCCATAACTTCAGGTGTGGCATCAGAAATGAAAGAACAGCACTCACTTCCTATCACCTTGCATGTGCCCCCCTTGGCAGCTAAGAGGAGATCAAGCGCCATGCGATTCTGTAGTGCTACTGTCCTAACTTCCTGCAATTCTTTGTGTTCAGCTAACATCGCTGTGTTGGATACATTTAGATGGTGTTCTACAACTTTGGACAGTGCCACAATTTCCTGCTGAGTAACATAAATACCGTACCAAGGCAAAAATAGGCTAGCTATCTGTTGTCCTTGTGTAATTGACCTGCTGTTCCTGTGTAGAGAGG